TGCAAGTCTTACACCTTTAATCCTTGAAAAATCTATTGTTAAGCAAGTAACCTGAACACAACTCAATTCATAATCATGCTTGATTCTGACTTTTCTCCTTCTCATTTCATAAATTAAACATTTTCAAGTCTGAACTTCTCACCTTCATAACTTCCTTGGTTAGCTAAACATTGGACATTATACCATGTATCTGCACTGAAATAATCATCCTAGGAAAATTGGAGGGAGATAAATTAGTAAAATGATTACATTTCCTGGAGATATATATTTTCTATAAATAATGGAAAAAGATACTTTCTTTGGTACTATCACAGCCAAATCCACACCTGAGAAATCTCGTTGTACCTACCTGGAATTCTCTCTGCAGATTCAAACTTTAAAATATTTCTATAAACTGTTAAGCATCTCTCATGTTTTAACCAAAAAAATTCAAATACTTTTTAATGTGTATTCACTGGTATAAAATGGTTTTATAATGTGAACACTGAAAACAAGCATAAAAACCTATGTTTCTTACCCATTCAAATCCACAGAATCTTGGCTTTGTAAACTAGGAAAAGAAAATAAAAATAGAATACAAAAAGCAATAAGTAATAATTCTATAATAATTCTAATAGATTTAGGATAATCAAACCTTTACTTGCAAAGCATATTTGTAAAAGATTGCACAATAGTTTGCACAAAAGTATGCACAGTATATGAAGAAGCAAGTGTACTGCTATCAGCCACATATTTTATGAGAGTACTTTGTAATCTCAGAAAGAGGCCACGTGGAACCCATGCTCAAGGCTAGTAGCATTGCCTGTTATTAAGGTTTCCTGATATTTTCCAGTGTAATCCCCTTTATTGTTACCTAAACATTGCTGAACTGCAACAATTTGGTCTGAAATTTTCCATGCTGGATATCTGCCTCAGGCTGAACTTTTTGGAAATTTCCACCAAAATAGTTCAGTTATTTTTGATAACCGGGATAGGAGAAAATACATTCTGGCTGTGTCTACATGAGACACTGACGGCGCAGTAGCTTGTGACTACTGAGCAGTAGCATCATGTGGCAGGAAGCATGATGTGATGCTACTGTGCAGTAGTCTCAGGCTACCGTGCAGCCAGAGTCTGCATAATAAGCCATTTGGCGACACTACTGCATGGTAACTCCAGTTACTGTGCAGTTATTTAGTACTTGTATAATAGTGCATTAGTACTTGTTTATACAAGTACTAAATGACTGCACAGTAGCAACTGAGCAGTCAGCATCTCAGGTAGACGCAGCCGTGTTTGCCTATACTAAAGGATTTTGATGACCTTTTCCTTGAAGTGTTTTAATGGTTCCGTGTTTTTATCAGAGACTTGATATTTGCAGAAGGATTTCCTTTGTGCCAAGAATGTACCCTACAAGAATCCCCCAAAACCTGGCCATGTTATATGTCTTGGTAAAACAGTACTTTGCACATGATCAATACAGACTTTAATTTTAGCAGTTGAAAACCCTAACAAATGTGTTCACATTGGCTTGCTTCAGCCTGAGGCTGAGAAGGATTTCTCCTGTAATTTCAGGTCAGCATTTCAGTGAACCATGTCACATTTGGGTTTGGGTCTGTGACCCTGTAGTGTAACAGTTGGAGAAAAAGCATTGAATGCTGCCAAAGAAGGGGTGCCAGAATGGAGCTGGTGGGTGCCTCCCACCAGTGGCTCCAGCTTTGGTAGCAGGGAGGGCAGAGTAGTAGTAGTAGTGTACAGTGTCCTGGACCATGATGGCATATGGTGCAGGAGCCGTGGCAAGAGGTTTGCTACTGTTGGGAGAAATGTCATTGCCTTTTTTTTGCTATAGAAGATCAGGGTTTAAATGGTTGCTTGACACACATGTTGACAGCAAAAGAAGAGGTGACCCCTCCACCCTCCCAGCAGCAAAACTCTGGTTACTGCTCCAGCACCATGTGTAGCATGAAAAACTGGACAGTACACCTCTGGACTAGGGATAGACATTCAACAAGCTGGAGCTGAATCGATTCAACCTTTGCAGGTTAGTTTAACCTGCCTAGGCTGAACCAGCTTGTAATAGGACAAACATTCACTCTGGACTGAGGCAATGCAGGCACATGCCTACAGTTGCTCAGGCCAGGCGCTGGGGGGCACTAGAGTGCACCCTCAGTTGTAGGGAAGCTGTGCTGGGGGGAGGCATGGCCAGCCCAGGCTGAACTGGCCAGAGAGAGGTTTAATTCCCTGCTTTCGGTGCCACTGGCAGGGACCAGAGCCAGGTCTGCTTGGTGCTCCCCTCTTGCTGCTGCAGCACTGGGCCCTGGGGCGGAAGGGGGTGGGGAGGACAGTTAGTTTCTCCTGTACCCCCACTGGCAGCTGGCTTTGCCTGCCATCTCCGCAGCACTTGCTCCCTGCACAGAGTAGGTCCCCAGCTATCCCCTCAACGGAGGCCGGAGGGAGGAGGAATAACCCCGATCCCTGCCCCTCCCCCCACTCTGCCTCAGGCAGCTCTAGTCCCTGCCGGTGGCACAGGGAGGGGGGAATTAAACCCCTCTCTGGCCAGACCCCCGCCCCTGCCTGCCCCTGCTCAGGCTGGGGAGCAGAGTGGGGGGGGGGCAGCCTGGCTGGGCTGGAGCAGAGAGCCCCTTCCAGCCCAGAGAGCATGATGGGATGCGGGGCAAGGAGTCTGGGACAGACATTGCATAAACTAATTTGAGCCAAATCAGCTGAGTCTGATGCTACATTCAACCAGGTTTATCTCAAATCAGTTTCAGCCACTTTGAAACTGGTTTATGTGCACTGAATGTCTCTTCTGTTACAGATTTAAACCAGTTTATTTGTAATGTCTGTCCCTAGCCCTGCTATTACTTCAACTGACTTGTGCTCACAGTGGTTCCCCTTCCTCCAATTCAGCTCCAGTTCAATGAAGAGGAGGTGACTGCCTGGTTTGAATGAGGAAGGGAACCACAGGGAAATCTGGGGAAGTTTATTTGGTTCTGAGACTGGCAGGGAAGAGGTTGACTGTACATGATAGCCAGTAGTTGCAGAGTAGACACAGGACAAACAAGGAGGACAGGATACTAGAGCAGGCTTGGCAGGAAATTAGGATCAAGAACAATTTGTGGGGAGTGAAGACAGAAAGAGATACAAATGTGACAGGACTTGTCATTTAGGAGATTTAGAACTAGTGGTCAGGTATACTAAAATTAGATGAGGAACTTAGGGAGTAGACTGGGAATGGGAACAGGTAGGGAAGAAGAATTGTTAAGGAGTAACTGGTTGCAAGAGGTAGAGAGAGAGGCATATTCCATGAGGAACTGGGAGTCATGGGGAAATACCACATTAAAAAAATATTACAATTATAATTAGGAAGTATTTTTAATTATATAACCATTTCTGTAGCAGACAGGTCAATTTTATTCTGCCTGAATTCATAGATAGATGCTAGGGTCGGAAGGGACCTCAACAGATCATTGAGCCCGATCCCCTG